CCCCCCCCCCCCCATCATCATCATCATCATCATCATCATTCCCATGCCCGTCACCAAGGTTCAAACTCATGGTCATCATGTCAGCGGCACGTTCTTCGTTCTCTTCTACCCTTCCTCGAGCATAACCCCTCGTATCACAACTCTTTGATTCATGTGACAGCGCACTCACAGTCCCTCATGTACTGTTATGCTGCGAGAATGGGATGTTTTTTCCTTCTTCGTCGTCCTGGATTAAGTCAGGCTAATTATAATTACTGTAATCATTTAAAAGATTAGTAATCACCACCAATATTTTCGTGATTAGGCGCGCGGCGATCTGAAAGTGCAAACGAAATTGAGCGTGCATTTTGCATCAATGGGAAAGGGAAAGCTCATCACCATCATCATCATCACCATCATCACGTCCACCATCATCACGTCCACCGTCATCTCATAAACGCACTCACCGTCTACCGTTCACGCTGCAGTAGGCATCGACAAAAAAGCAGTCTGTTCGATCAATCAATCAATCAACCAAACCAGCCAACCAATCAATCAATCAACCAATCAATCAATCAATCAACCAATCAATCAACCAATCGGTCAACCAGAAAGCTCTAGAACTGGAAGGTTCATCAGAGTGAGCATCACTATGCATCGACACAAAAAGAAGTCTGTTAGATCAGTCAACCAACCAATCAATCAAACAATCAATCAAACAATCAATCAATCAATCAACCAATCAACCAAAAGGCTCTACAGCTTGAAGGTCCATCAGAGTGAGGATCAATTCTCTCTCCACCGTTGACGCTGGAGTGTGCAATCAATCAATCAATCAATTAATGTACGGTGTGACCAGAACGCATGAGGTGAGAAAGGAGGATAAGCGAGAGAAAGCAAAGATGCACAGCAGCAGATTGTGCGCTTCAAAGGTTTCCATGGTCGGAAGACGTTGATTCGCCGGCGATGGAATGGAGATCAAGCTGATTGATCGATTGGTTGATTGATTGATCCAATGATTGATTGATTTGATTGATTGGTTGGTTGGTTGATTGGTTGGTTGGTTGGGTGGTTGGTCGGTTGATGGGCTGGTTGGCTGGTTGATTGGTTGATGGATTGGTTGAATGCTTGATCGGTTGATTATTGTGATTGATTTGATTGATTTGATGTTGATTAGATTTCGGTTTGATTCTTCGGTGATCGACTGGAGATCAAGCTGATGGATTGATTGGGTATCGATTGGTTATTCGAGTTGATGAGTTGATGAGTTGATTGATTTGATTGATTAGATTTTGATTAATTGATTGGTTGCATTGGATTGCATTGATTTGATTCTTTATTGCTTGATTTGATTTTGATTGATTGATTTGATTTGATCGATTGGATTACTTTGATCGAGTGATTGATCGACTCATTATTGATTTCATTGGATTGCACCGATTTGATTCATTGGGTAAAAATGGTTGATTTGGTTGATTGATGGTCATTGGTTGATTTGATTGATGTGATTTGAGGGGAAAATGGTTGATTTGGTTGATTGATGGGCATTGATTTCATTGGATTGCACCCACTATTGATTCGATTCTTTACTGCTTGATTTGATTTGATTTGATTGTGATTGATTGATTTGATTTGATTTGATTTGATTGATTGGATTGCTTTGATTAACTGATTGATCGACTGTTATTGATTTCCTTGGATTGCACCGATCTGATTCATTGGATAAAAATGGTTGATTTGGTTGATTGATGGGCATTGGTTGATTTGATTGATCTTTCCCAGATTGATTTCATTGATGTCACGCACATAAATGGAAATGATTGGATTCCATTTCCGATTTCTTGATTGATTCTCCTCTTTAGGCATATTGCTTAATTAATCTAATCTACAAATAAGATGGATGGATGGATGGATGGACGGATTTCATCCCCCTCACTCGTTCGCACAAAAACACAACTGCTGACGACGTAATTTCACTCCTTCCAGCGTGAATGTACCTGACCTCAATCCCCGCCACATCCATTTCACAAAACTCCCACTTCGAAAGGTAAAAATCCAATGCCGATCAGCAGTCCCATACACAAAAAGGGGGGGGAAATGAAGCGCCGGAGGAGAGAGGGGAGGAGAGAGGGGAGGAGAGAAAAAAGGGCGGGAAAAAAAGCTGGCAAATAGGGTATCCAGAAAACGGAGGGAGGAAAAAAAAAAAAAAAAGGAAAACATACCGGCGAAAAGGAGGAGACGGGGGGAAAAAAAGGAGAGAAAGAGGAGAAAAAAAAGGGAAAAAAAAGGAGAAAAAAAGAGAAAAAAAGGCGGACAAAAAAGGGCGAGAAAAAAAGGGCGAGAAAAAAAGAAGTGGGGGGGGAAGAGGAGAAAAAAGGAGGGCGTAAAAAAACAGAAGCGGGCTGGTCGGACGTAAGTTCGTGGTAAAGTCAAAATGAGAATTTAGGTGACTTTTTATTTTATTTTATTTATTTTCCTCAAAATTCAGATTCCAGGCCCCCCCCCAAAAAAAAAAAAAAAAAAAAAAAAAAAAAAAAAAAATAGGCAAAAAATAAAAAAAAAAAAAAAAAAAAAAAAAAAAAAAAAAAAAAAAAAAAAGATTAAGAAGGGCCTCGAACGTCACCAATACACCGGAGTGAAAAGAAAAAAAAAAAAATCGAACTTACATGAACTCGCCAATAACAAAATGAAAAGGAAAACTCGGGTGAAAATGAAAATTCCAGTAAAACAAATTTACGAAAATATCTTTCGCTGGTCATGTCGCAAACTTTGTTCGTTTCATCTCCTCTTCCTCCTCCTCCTCTCCATCCTCCTCCTCCTCTCCATCCTCCATCCTCCTCCTCCTCCTCCTCTTATTCCTTCTCCTCATCCTCCTACTACTCTCCCTCCTCCTCCTCCGTTTAGGACATTTCCTGAGAAGTCGATCAGATATTTTCCCCAATTCGTTCGTGTCTTTTTCTCCTCCTCCTCCTCCTCCTCCTCCTCCTCCCCCCCCCCTCTCCTCCTACTCCTATTCCTTCTGCTCATCCTCCTCCTCCCTCTCCTTCTCTCCCACCTTCGTTCCCGCCATTTCACGAAAAGTCGATCAGATCTTTTCCCCAACTCGTTAGTGTCATTTTCTCCTCCTCCTCCTCCTCCTCCTCCTCCTCCTCCTCGCTGAGGAAGAGCCGCCACCTCTACTCTACCCAACAGCCCCCGAAACGTGCAATTCCTCAATAGAAAGGGGATTAAAAAAATAACCAAAAAAAAAAAAAAAACACGTCATTTCTAGTCGTCAGTTGAACTCGACCCTCATTCATTTCTGAAGTAACTCTCCTCCTCGCCTTCGACTTTTTTCTCGGTGACTTTTACCTTTCACCCTCTCAAAAAAGCAAGACTACAAAAAAAAAAAACAAAAAAACGGCAAATGCTGACATCCGTGTCTGCTGATTGACTCAGAGATTTGCTCCCCTCTGTTTACTCTTGCGAACAGATCAAAAAAATCCTGCCCAAAGAGGGGCAAAAAAAAAAACAAAAAAAAAACGTGCAATATATCAACAGAGCCGCCACCCCAACTCCACCCAACAGCCCCCAAACCTGCAACTCCTCAGGAGAAAGAAGATTAAAAAAAAAAAGAAAAAAAGAGAATAAACAAAAATAAAAAACAAATCTCATTCTACTCGTCAAATCATTTCTGAACTCTCCTCCTCCTCCTCCTCCTCCCTTTGTTGCCTTTTTTTTTTTTTTTTTTTTTTTCCCCTTTCTCAGACTGACCACCGATCAGATATCTCGAGCTGAGCAGAACAGATGCACTGCACTTGATCTTACTTAGCCAAAAGGCCGAGAACAGGTATTAAACTCTCTCCCCTCCTCCCCTCAACCCCGAACTCTTCCCCCCCCCCCCCCMCCCACCCMCCCACAAAAAAAAAAAGAATAATAATAACAACAGCAAAAAAAGAATTAAACCACCGCAAATGCCGACATCTGCCTATAGATTGACTCAGAACTTTGCTCCCCTCTATTTACTCTTGCGAAGGCATCTAGAAACCCCTGCAAAATATAAACGGCCGACATCTTATCCGTTATCGCTTTCAATCTCATGGGCGGGAGATCGAGTCCCCTAACGGAGCTCTCCACAGCCATGGATGTCAATCTCTCATCCCACAGAACGTACGGCAGAGATGCTAGCTCCTGTTGCGTTTGCAGTTCCTTCAAGAATCGTCGGACTCGAACGACCTCCGTACTATTTGCTCCTGATAACTGGATGGGACAGCCAACAACCATCCCAGCGGCCTCAAATTTTTTCACCAACGTAAAAATTTTCGCGGCATTCTTGTCCACAGACGTACTCGATCGCTCCAGCCAGCTCAGAGGAGACGCCACGTGGCAATTCTTATCCGAAATCGCGACCCCGACCCGACGTCTCCCGACATCCAATCCTATCAACGGCTGCCCGCATCGTCGGCGCGCAACCTCCATCAACTCTCGCAGAGGCACAAGGGGCATCTTCTTCTTCMCCCCCCCCCCCTAAATTTCTTCACACCCCCCCTAAATTTCTTCACACACCCCTAATTTCTTCAAACACCCTAATTTCTTCACACCCCCTAATTTCTTCCCTAATTTCTTCAAACACCCTAATTTCTTCACACCCCCCTAATTTCTTCACACCCCCTTAATTTCTTCACAACCCCCCTAATTTCTTCAAACCCCTAATTCACTAAGTTGCTTCACACACCCCTGAGCTTTCTTCACAGTCCCAATTTTTCTGCTCACCCCGACCCCACTACACCCCTCCTCTCTTCTTTTTCTTGCCCTCCCTTTTTCCTTACCTCTCCTCCTTCTCCTCCSMGCCCCCCCCCTCCTCTTCTTTTTTTTTTTTCGTTCTTGGACCAGATATTAAAAACTGATTAGAACGGAATGCTCGACTACAGTCGGTCGTCACTCCGACGACTTTTTTTTTTTTTTCCCCTTTTTTCTTTTTACTCCGCCAGCTTCCCGAACTGCATGGTAAGACGTTCAATCAATCACGACAACACGATCGCATGACATGCATGACATGCATGACGACGTACGACAGACGCACGTAGTGCATCGATTGCTACTCGACAAACAAAATCCGAGCACAGGTAGTGCATCGCGTCAGAAGATAGCCATAGAATAGAACGACGTACGGCGGCGCGACCCGACGCCGCGTTTCGATTCGAATGGCCGCCGGCTTCCAGAACTGCATAAGGATATAGATATCGTCAAACAGAGCTACTGCCTGCGGTAAACCGTAGGCTGAGAGGGAGGGAGGGAGGGAGAAGAGCACAACAAACGAGGGGCTGTGACAAACTGTTTCGTCGGAGTTTCACCGACTCATCAGGAGGCTGAACCCAGTATGTACATATAAGCTATATTATATATATATATATTGTTAGCTCTCTTGGTAGGAGGGAGTCTGGTATGGTACTCCGCCACTTCTTCTCCTCTGCTTTGAATGAACGCTATGAACGTCGACGCTTTTCAGACCAGGATCGTGCTTGCGTACGACGCACATAGCCGCCCTTTCGCCTTCCCGTTGTTACCCCCTACTATTCTCTTCACCTCTTTCCACTCAGTCGCCACGTGTACGAAGATGCCAACGTGTTCTTTATATGGCCACGTGGACTTGTCGACTCGGCCATGTGGACACGTGGACCCTCTCGCTCTCTCTCTCTCTCTCTCTCTACACTGTAGGGTCTCTAGCGGCACTATTCATGGACGGTGAAAAATGCCGAGTGCATCTTCGCATCGGAGCTGGCATAGTGCTGGACGTATCTAGCCAGCTTTTCTCTGAAGATGCACTTGCCAGTTCACAAATTCAACGGCGAGATGGCCTACCGGTAGGCGCGACATCACTCCTTCGCCTTTCACGATTCGGCGTTGAGGCACATGTAGAAAAAAGGGTATCCTTCGTCTCCACCGTAAATTACGAGGACCGAATCGACGACCAGAAACAAATTATCCTGTGGGTGAGACCTTGGCCCATGTCACAGGGCCTCGTCGCACTACTCGCCATCCGCCAACATTTTGATTGCATCTGGAGATTATTTTGTCCAGATGCATTCGAAATCTTGGCGGATGGCGAGTAGTGCCACCAGGGCCTCACCTATTGCACGCATTCTTCATTATTGGCCGACGATCTTCGTAACCCGATGGTCAGAAATGAACTATCCTTGTACGTCGGACTTGGCCCCCAGACGGCTGGGCCCTCCTTGCGAAGTCCCACCGACCTGGATTCTCGATCTCTCCAATTGTTACAACAGGAGGTTGTGGGTTCGAGCCTCATGGCGACCAGAGGCGCACTTAGTGCCAACCGACTGTGATAGTCCGCTTTTTTTTTTTTTTTTTTTTTTTTTTTGTGAAACACCTCCGCCAGTGTTAGTGCTGCTGATAAGAGCAGACACCACTAACACCTGGGAGAGGCTCCGTCTATTGGTGGGGAGCGTCGCCTGCTGGAAACGGGTCCAGCGTCTGTGATAGTCCGCTTGATACCCCTGATCGGTATTAGTAGGGTCTATGACCAACACGGGTGTGAATGTGAGCGTGAGTGGGTTGTGTGTGGTGTGTGGAAGACTGGTGGCCATAGCCACAGCTGCTACTCGATGGGGGTTGGGGAAAGTAGATGGAAGGCGCAGCTACTGGCAAAATGCTCGGCCTTTGCGGTAGCCGGCCCCGCCACCCTACCCCCTGACCACCGCCTATTAGGGCGGCGGGCAAACATGCATCCCCTTGATTGTGAGAGGTAGCTATGCTTGCAGGAGTCCCCTGTATAGGCTTAGGAGTGGTAGGTAGATTCGGAAAGGTGAAATTGAAAAAAAAAATGATTACAAAGATAATGACAAGAATTCAGGAACCAGGAAGAGTGGGCCTCGCCACCGATATCATCGCATGTGCATCCCAAGGCTGCTACTGCACAGATGGAATTTCCCGAGCTAGATAGGGCTTGTGTTTGGTGGACCAGACCGCACTGGTGGCACGTTCGTGCTAAGAAATCATGGTGCTGGTCAGAAAAGTGTTGAAGTTCGTATTTTCATAGCACTAACATAGCGCCAGCAGGGCCTGCCGCCTATTCTTTTTAGTTTTGCCCAAAAATTGACCTTCCAATTCTTTTTTTTCTGTCTTTTTTGTGGGAGGGGCGTGACGCACCAGCTTCTTTGCATGAACGAGCTTCCGAGCCCCTTCTTTTTCTTTGGGGTGCTTCTTTTTGGTGACGGGTTCAGGCTACTGTCTTCCCCCGAACATGACGCACCCTGATAATGAATGTATAGAAGCCATCTTTCCTGTCCGGTACAGGCAAAATGAGGATGTGCTATGTTCGGGGGAAGACAGTAGTCCAGTTCCAGTACCTCTACCTGGTCCAGATTGCATTTCTGACGAATGCTCATGTCAGGGTTCACGCTGTCTCGGTCGATATTGGCCGGCAATTTTGTCGTACTAGCCTTTTTGCTGTTCACAAGGCTTATCGTTGATGAACTGGTGCATGGGACACGTCGACTAATCTTGTCCCTTCGTTTTTGAGCAATTTTTCTTACATTTGTTGTACTTTTACGGTTTTACCTATGACTTACGTGAAACGTATGGTTAACCATCTCTCGGAAAAATTGACATTTCAATGAATTTGTTAGACTTTTCATTTTAACACTCGGAGAGTGTTTCAAATTTGTGTTAGGGCTGTATAGTGCTTTTGTATTTTTTTTTCATTTTCTTTGCCCTTTTTTTTTTATGTTTGCACTATGGGCCCATATAGTTTCTTTTTTTTTAACTTTTTGCTGATTTTTGCATCAAAATTGTGGGCGGAAATGACGAATATTTGACCCTCACGGTTGCCCATTGTGATACTTCGCAAACTTGAAGACTCCTTTCCTTTTGCATGTACATTTCGGAGAAGCCCCTACAAGCCCTATGAATTTTTGGTTGATGGACAATAGAATAGGAATCGGCGTAGGAATTTGCGCGCCTTGGAACTTGTGCGAGTAATTTTTGTTCGAACTTCGAACTTTTTAATTTCAATCCGGGTTTAGGGATAAGGCACATTTTCACTGGTATTTCACGTACTAACTGTTCTAGTGCCTTTTTTATTTTTGCGCTTGTAATATTTTCTCGTTTCCTCAATCCCCTTCTTCGCGTCATCATTTGGCAAACCGAAATTGTCTTCTTCTCCCTACCTTCGTGCTCTTTCTTTCTCCTTGCTTCTGGTGAATCTTTGCCTTGCTCCATCCTTCTTCTTGTAACCTCCTTTCCCACTCTCGTCTATACGCAGGAAGGCCTTGTTGAACCCCCAAGTAGTTGGAGAAGTCACGGCAGCATGTAACGAGGCTCAGAACTCCTCACACTGCGATCCGATTGGTTACGAAGTACCTCACCCAAATCAACATAGCCCTCCAATGCGACTCTCTCCTTCTCATCTCTCTCTTCTTCCATCCCTCATCATTCTCCTCCCCAGAGCCTCCTTTCCACAACAATAAATCTTGCAAGCGCCTTACTTTTGCTCTCTCGCAATATATCGGTCAAATTTGGTGGAGTAATGATTAGATGAGGTGGTGATCAATGTGTTGGAAAGTCTTGACGAGTCGGTTGTAACTTTGCGGGATTCCGCGCTAGACTGTTGCGACAGACTGCAGGGTCTGGGTGAATTTGCATAGTAGTTGAGTGAACGGGGTGACGATCGATGAGGTTTAGTGCTACGTGCGTGGCGCCCGGGATTTGTTGATGGTTGGTTTAATGTCCCGAGGTCATCGCTCGAGAGTAGAAGTTTTGCGCTTTATCCTCCTCTTCTTATATCTGGAGTGAGGTTGTATGGCAGATGCCAATTTTTTCCTTCAACCAAGCGAGTGTATATCCTTTCCCCCCCCCCCTCTTGGTCTCTTTGTTTTTGCTCTCTATCTATAATTGTCTGTCATTGAGTGAATGAATAATGGTTGTATGTGCATCACTTGCGATGGTTACCTGTATATGAGTGTGTCCTTAAATCATGCCTTTCGTCCTGCCCTCCTCTTTTCAGGATATCGTCGGGCGAGGATTTTCAAAATATGCGAGTCTATGAAGATTGTCTCGTAAAATGACAATCCTCTTGATGTTAACAAGTATGATCTCTCCCTCTCGGATCTTAACAAGGTTGATGGTGGATAAATGAATAGATGAACGCGACTTTCTTTTATTTTTCCCTTAGTTAGGACTTTTGTTTAAGATATTTTTCACCCGATCAACGAAGTCGGTTCGCTTTTCGATACAATCTTCCACTTGCAAAAAAATGTAACGAGGAGATCGACTATGCTCCCCTTGATTATGAACGTAAAGCATTTCGGGTATCTAACATTTTAGTATTTTCTTCCTTTCACCCTCGTTTTTTATTTGCGTCCCTTCTGCATGAGTAAAAAACTTAGTATGATCTACCCGTGATCAATAGGTTTTTGAGTGGGCACCCCTTTAAAAGTTGCTCAGCTCGCAAAATCTTTCCTCTTCTTGTCGCTTTGAGAGAGAATGTCCATCAAATGTAAATATCCGAGTATTTTTGTTCTCAGTCAAAATTCGTCTTCGTTGTTATCCCTCTTTTTGAAGAACCCATGATTATCGGCCCAGTTTTTTTTTTTTGAGTTCATCCATTAGTTTCCTAGGTAATCCCTCTCTGTGCGGGAACATCGGGTAATAATATGAAAGTCACATCGTATCGGCAATGCCTGATTTCCTCTACGAATGTGATTCCCAAAATTAATGGGATGTGATCTTCTCGTTTTGTAAGCGGTGGATGCGTGTACTGGCCATGTGGACTGAGCATGTGGAACCATTGGGGCGCCGATTTCTCGAATATTGCCGCCTACGATCTATCCCCATACAACGAGGATAGGACACATGTCTGCAAGAGGGATATGCGAAAAGTCGTAGTCAGGATCTGCGACCCTTACGATGTTCCTTGTGAAACACGGTGTTATGTTTTGTCGATTCAGGTTTGTGATCGTTAATACTCATTTCCCTCCATACTCTGTGTTGCTCCCTTTCAACGAATTGATTGTCGTCCCGTGACCGACAATAGCTCCCCACTAGCCTCGCACGTTGTGCAATGATTGTGTCTGCACGAAGCACTTTCAAGCCCAAGGGTTCTACTATCGGAAGCGTGGAGAAGAGGAGTTCAAGGTCAAAGCAGTCAGACTGC